GGGGGGGCTATGAATGGCTTGAGAGCGTGAACCTTGGGTAAAGACAAGCTTTTCAGATGAAGACGGCGCGCGTGCTTTGGCTTCCCGCCTTCGGGAACGGGTTCGATAGGAGAACGCGCCTTCGGGAACGGGTTCGATAGGAGAACGCGTTAGTCTTCGGTTAGTTTTATCGTCCCCCCCGTGTCCTCGCCCGTGAATATGTACTTTGGCTGTCATTGCGATGGCCCGCTATCGTCTACAATACATTACACCGTCGCCCACGTTCTACCCCTCTTGGTGGACCCCACCTCCCTGTTTTCCGTCTTCGTGTCTCCTTCCGGCCCCATCGCCAGGCGTCAGCGCACCCCCTAATAGACACTGCCGTGAAGACCCCTATGCCCCCCTCCCTCCCCCGAACACCATTCGCGCAAAAATTCCAAAACGCAGGAAAAATATGTCCCCTCCTGCCGCAACCGCCCCTCCAGGTCATTGTGCCCGCCTCCCTCCACCCACAATGGTCTTGCTCTCCATTGCACGGGAGTGGCCAGGAATAAGTCTTGCCCGTGACGGAAAGGAACGATCTCGTCCCGCGTGCCATGGATGACGAAGATGGGGCATTCCATCCTCTTGACCCGATCCACGTTGGGAAACATGTCGCCCCACCAGGTCCAACGCAGGTCTGGGAGGACCACTCGGAGTATAGAGAGGACGGGACTCTGTAGCATCACTCCACCCACGGGCGTGCCAGACAAAGCGAGACGTTCGGCAAGGTAACAGCTGGGACCGCTGCCAATCGATCGCCCCAACAGCACCAATCGTGAGGGCACGACTTTCTTGATTTCCACCAAATACTTGAAAGCAGCGTCGATATCGGCGTAGCAATTGCTTTCCGAAGGCGACCCAGTCGCCCTCCCGTACCCGGAATATTCGTAGGCCATAACGTTCACGTTGAGTTGCCGAGAGAAGTCAAAAAATTGGTCATAGATCATACCTGTGATGGGAATGTGTGTGAGTATTCCAAACGACCGAGCGAAGCGCGAGAAAGCCACGAGGGCGCTCCACTGGTTGGTTTACGTCGGCAAGCTATACCTCCTCCTGCTGATTTTCGCCACTCTGCAACAACTCACCCAAATCTTCGGCGTTTCCGTGCGATACCAGCACAGTTATATGTGCCGACCGGTCAAAGTAAAAAGCCGGAATTCTGTTTCCTTTGCTGGTGGGTAGGATGATGTATTTGGTGGAGTTTATGTGCGAACGTTTGGAGGGAGGTTGGAAGACGAGGGAGGAGATGCGACCGCCCATGGCCACCGCTCAAAGTATCGCGCTGAGGCAGGATCACGGTCAGTGTGCTTGCAAGTAAAGGACAATCCAAGGGAAAAGCTTAACCTGTGCGGGATCATCGATAAGTGAGATGAAAAAGGGTGGTCTAATGAGGGTTGTCGAGGACACCCAAGGACGTAAGCAAAGCCAGCAACATTCCTTCCCTTTCATGGATAAGCTATCCACTTTCAGGCACCAGATGAAGTATTGTGCTCCTTTGTATTAAGATGGCAGAAACGAGCTTTTCGCTGCCCATGGAGTCCACATCGGTCCATTTTTCTCGAATGACCTTTTAGGTGACGATCCCCCGGCCACTTCGTTTCGTGATGGGCTAAGCCAATAAGCCAAGAATCTAGCTTCCGTTCGAACTTGACCGGCACACCGACCTCACGTACGCATAGCTCCGCGTAGACACCAAGCATGATGCACCCAAATGATCGCATGCGAGTGTTTGGAGCGTCCTGCGTGCCTTGTATATTGTGCCTGACATCGCCGTCTGTTGCTTTCCTCCTCTCCTTTTCCCGTCCACGTTTTTCCGCACGTGCCCGGCTATCCATGACTTGACACTTTGCCATGTCCCACGCCTCCCTCTTGACCCTCATATGGCTACAGGTGGGGCGGCCGTATGGATTGGAAATTACCGCCGGCGCTTGGGGCACATGCTGGGAGCGGAGGAAACGCCGGGGTGGAAATGGGTTTAGAGGCACCTTCGCCGTCTTTCTCCCTTGCAGCAACTAGTCAGGGCACTGGAATGGTCGCACACCCTGGGAGCAGCAATGGTGACGCCGGCGATAGAGCTATGAATCTCACTCTTGGGTCCTCTTTTGAAGCCGCTGCGTCGATGGCACGTGCCGGACTTAAACCCGGCTATGGAGAGGGAGCTTACTACCCTCAGGCCCCTTTGGCGACGGCCTGGTCCCCGGACGCCCACCCACTCTGCCACGCGCTCCTAATGACACCCTCCGGGATGACGGGTCGTGTTGAAGCCCATCGACGCCGTCAAGTAGGACGGGGGGAGGGAAATGAGTGGGGCTCGTCCCCCGGGGTGACGGATGAGTTTTTGATTGGATTGTCTGATGGGAGCCAGGGAGTATTGCCGGAATCGATGCTTCGAACGTGCATAGAGCGCCTGGAGGCACACACTGCTGGGAACCAAGCACAGCTTCAAACCCTCAGGGAGAGGGATGCGGAGGGTGAAAACGGGGCAGGCAGAGGAGGGAGCGGCGTGGGAGAGGGAGCATGGGAAGGAGGGGGAGGAGGACAAGGAGGAGGCCAGGGGCCGGGAACTGCGAAGGCTGTGACGAAGCGCGCACAGAAAGCGCAAGGTCAGCAGCGTCG